TCTAGATTGCTTTGGGTAGTATTGACATCTTAGCTATATTAAGTCTTCCCATCCACGAGCTGTTGTTGTTGCTGTTAAGTGTTGTCCAGTGTCTGTTCTGACTCACAGTGACCCTATATAGGGTTTCCAAGAAGCGCCTGTTGCTTTTAATTCAACAAGTTGAGATTATTTAATTTCTAAGATGGTAGGGGGATTATAAATGAAATCTATAATTTTACTTAGAATTAAGGCCTTCTCATCAGAACTGGACCTTAAGGTTGGTTTGAACTGCCAGGTCAATGCTTCAAATTCACCAGCCATCACTCCTCAGAAACCCTATACAGGTTCGTCATGAGTTGGAATTGACTCAACAACACTTAACAATAACAACAACAATGTGGAGTGTAAGACTTTGGGAGGGTAAAATTTTCCTAAGCAGGAGTTCCTACATGTGACCGAGAAACTGGAATGTAGAGTCCCCCCCACATACCCCAGGGGATTTGTGACATTTAAAAGAGTTTTCTGGGGGATGGAGAGGTCCACACAGGTGGTTGATTAGAGGCTCTCCATGTGAAGGAAAAGATGTTGGTCAAGTACATGCGCCATGGCAGAGGACCACCCTGATGATCTCTGATGGGGAAGGGTTCCCTTTCTCCCTCTCATTACCACCACCTCAGACTCCAGAGAACCAGTTGGTCCTACCGAGGATGCTGTGGTCTACCAACCTGTCTTCTCTGACTCTTGTTTTCCAGTGTTTTTTTTCCCAGGTTCTGATGTTTAAATATATTGATAATTTCCCTTTTTATGGTACCTGCTTTCCCTCTTCAAATCTAGGAAGTCGTAGGTAACCAACGCAGGTCGTGGTTTTATCTTCGCTGTTCACATGGTTGAGGGCCTTGCATAGAAAGCCTCAATTTGTCAGGCTTTTTTCCATTTGACCTCTTGGTAAAAAATAATAATATACTTGAAATATTAATGTGTAAAATTAAGTACGTATTAATGAACGTGTTAATGATAATGTAACATATTATTGTGTAATTAGTATGTACCTTTGCATTCCATTTTCTCACAATCTTTTGGGAGCACCCGCATGAATGTAAACGTTACATAAATGGTACACAAAGCCAGACTTCCTTACCTTCCATACGTTTTGAATTGTTCATTCAAAAGTGCTGCTGAGAAAGTAGAGGCTGTTAGGGAATAGTTTACACTCATCCCCCACATAGTCAGCCCCACAGTGATTCCCCATAAATAGATACAGTAAAACCTACATACTCCAGAACCAGTAAGGAAAACTCAAGTATTTGCCTTGATAGAGAGGAAAGACATGTGGTTAGCAGCCGCCTCTGGGAGGTGGGAAGCGGGGCAACCTCGTCAAGTTACTGCTCTCACAGGTTCCACTTCTGTCAGGGAAGGCTTAAGTTTATGTTCCTTTTGTTCAGGGAGAAGTGGTGAACAGGGGTAGTTGCCTCCTGGCCTTTTGTTTAGCTGTTCTCAACCAGATAGCCCAGCGTGCCCCCATTTCTCATGTGTTTGTATTACTAAAATAAAAGGTTCTCAGAATGTCCCATAATTCCTGTTTGTGCTTTGACCAACTGATTTATTCCAATCACTAATATTTTCTGTGATGTCAAAAAAATCTCAGAAATGCACTTAACAGAATATTTTATTATGTGTTTGAATGTTATTATTTGTATGAATATCTTTGAAAGAATAACTGCTTTTTAATTTCTTCTAGATTTTGGACACCCCATACTTACTCAATGAGGAATGGCAGTATTTTCTCTCTGGTTTAATATTTAGGAATGCATCTATCAATCTCACTTTTGAAAATGTTTACAGGTACGAAACATTAGGCGACACGTTTTGCTACTTCAAAATGGTTCTTTTTCCAGAATAAGAAGTTTGCTTTGGAAAGTGGTTTCTAACCTCAGGGATAAGATTGTCCTGTTTCAGAATTACACTGTCCTCTAGTCTCAGCAAAGTAGAGTAAAGTGAAGGGTCATCGAAAAAGAGGAAGACCCTCAGTGAGATGGACTGACAGCCTTCCAGGAATGTGATGAGACCACAGGTGTCCCTTCCTACCTGAGCGGTAGTGGTTCCCATTGCCTCTACTAGAAATGGCAAAGAAGCGGCCCATGTGTCTGTCCTGCCATGCTCACGGTAGACATTGAGAGTTGATATTGTCCAGTTTCTCTGCATCCTTCTTAACAGTGCTGTGTTGTGCTTATTAGGTGCTGTTGAGTTGGTTCCAACTCATAACGACCCTCTGCACAACAGAACAAAACACTGCCCAGTCCTGGGCCATCCTCACAATTGTTGAGTTTGAGCCCATTGTTGCTGCCACTGTGTTAGTCCATTTCACTGGGGGGGTGGTCTTCCTCTTTTCTGCTGACCCTCCACTTTTCCAAGCATGATGCCCTTTTCCGGAGATTAGTCCCTCCTAACAACATGCCCAAAATGCAAGCGATGAAGTCTTGCCATCTGGCCTCTAAGTAACCTTCTGGCTGTACTTCTTCTGCTACAGATTTGTTTGTTCTTCTGGCAGCCCATGGTACTTCAATATTCTTCTCCAACACTGTAATTCAAATGCATCGATTCTTCTCTGGTCTTCCTTATTCATTGTCCAACTTTCACATGCATCTGAGGTGATTAAAAATGTCATGGCTTTTCTTAATCCTCAATGGATATCCTTGCTCTTAAACACTTTAATGAGGTCTTTTGCAGCAGCTTTTCCTAGTGCACTGTGTCTTTTGATCTCTTGGCTGCTGCTTCCATGAGTGTTAATTATGGATTGAATCAAAATGAAGTCTTTGACAAAGTCTATCTTTTCTCCATTTATCATGATATTATTTATTGTTCCAGTTGTAAGGAATTTTGTTTTCTTTACATTGAGGTACAATCCACACTGAAGGCTGTAGCCTTTGTCTTTATCAGTAAGAATTTAAGTACTTTTAGATTTCCCCAAGCAATATTACATCATTTGCATACTGAAGGTTGTTAATGACTCTTTCTTCGATTCTGATGCCACGTTCTATATATAATTCATCTAGGATTATTTGCTCAGCATACAGATTAAGTATGGTAAAAGGATATAACCATGGTACACACGCTTCCTGATTTAAAACTGTTCTGTGCCCCCTTATTCTATGTGTATTTTCTTCATGAGTACAATGAAATGTTCATAAATACCCATTCTTCACAATGTTATCCACAATCTGTTATGCTTCACACTGCCAAATGCCTTTGCATAGTCAATAATGCACAAGTAGACATCTATCTAGTATTGTCAGCTTTTAGCCAAGATCAATCTGACCTTAGCATTAAGATCTCTCATTCTCCTTGTCTTCTTCTGAATCCATCTTGAATTTCTGGCACTTTACTGCCAATGTACTATTGCAATCATTGTTTAATTATCTTCAGCAAAATTTTACTTACATGTGATATTAATGGTATTTTTCAGTGATTTCCACATTCCATTGGATCGCCTTCCTATGGAGTGTGTACAAATACAAATTGCTCCCATTTGGTTGGCCAGGTAGCTGTCTTAAATTTTTTGGCATAGAAGAGTGAGTACCTCCAGCTCTGCATCAAATTGTTGCAATATTTCAATTTGTATTTCATCAGTTCCTGAAGTCTGTTTTTCGCCAATGCCTTCAGTGCGGCTTGCACCTCTTCCCTCAATTTCATCAGCTCTTGATCACATAGCACCTCCTGAAATGGTTGCGCATTGGCCAGTTCATTTTGGTACAGCTACTATTTCCTTCTTAATTTTGATGCTTCTTGTGTTGTTCAGTATTTGGTCTATGGAATCTTTCAATATTTCAAGTCAAGGCTTGAATTTTTTCTTCAGTTCTTTAAGCTTCAAAACTGCTGTGTTCTTCCCTTTTTTTGTTTTCTAATTTCAGGCCTTTGCACAATTCATTATAATACTTCACTTAGCCTTTTTGAGCTGCCTTTGAAATCTTCTGTTCAACTCTTTGACTTCATCATTTCTTCTAGTTGTTTCAGCTGTAGTGTAGTGGTTACGTACGAATCGGACTGCGAACCTCAAGGTCAGTAGTTTAAAACTACCAGCTGTTCTGCAGGAGAAAGATGAGCCTTTCTGTTCCCGTAAAGATTTACAGCCTCAAAAACCCTATAGAGGGTCGCAATGAGTCAGAACCAATTCCACAGCACATAACTACTACCACCACATTCAAGAACAAATTTCAGAGTCCCTTCTGTCATCCACTTTGGTGTTTTCTTTATTTCCTATCTTTTTAAATGACCTTGGCTGTTTTCATGGATGATGCTGTTGATGTCATCCCACAATTCCTCTGGTCTTCCGTCATTGATATCTGATGCATCAAATCTGTAGGAAGACATTATCAGTCCATCGGGGTTTCTGTGTGAGATTAAACCTGGCTGCCACCTTTAGGCTTCCTGACCTGGCTTGCAAGCTCTTAGTGACTGTGGCTCTTGCAGAACCCATTGTCCTTCTAGCTCTGTGATCCAACAGACTGACCTTCTCATGGTTTCCTCAGGGGACGTGTGGAAGTGGCTCTTCCTAGGCATCCACTGGGTGCTGGCTTCACTGGTGAGGAGACGATGCCTTGGAATTGGCCACCTGCATGAGAGAGAGATGCACCGGGTGGGATGTGTCCTTCTGAACTCAGTCTCAGAGGCATTGTTCCCATTCCACAGATGGTTTTGCCTTCGTTGACTATCACAAAATTGCACAATGTGGGTGGCTTTAAAATTTGTCTTCATGCTGTTCTAGAGGCTAGAAGTCTGAGTTCAGGGCCTGGACCTGGCCAGGGTCATGCTCTTTCTCTCTCTCTTTGAGTCTCAAGGAACATCTTCACTTGTCTTTTCGAACTTCTGGAGCTTCAGGAGTTTGCTGATAGTCCTTAACTTGTGGTCAGAGCTTCCTATGCTGTCTTCACCTTGTGTGTGTGACTCTGTGTCCATATCTGTCCTTGTCGCCACTCAGAACGGATTAGGACTAGGGCTGCCCACACTCCAGTATAATCTCATGTACCTCACTGATGCTATCTGCAAAGACAAACCTGATTTCCACACACCTAGTTTCGGTGTGGATTGCATCTCAATGTCAAGAAAACAAAAATCCTCACCACTGGACCAATAAACAACACTCTTATCAACAGAGAAAAGATAGACGTTGTCAAGGACTTCATTTTCCTTGGATCAACTATCAACACTCATGGAAGCAGCAGTCAAGAAATCAAATGACGTATTGCATTAGACAAATCTGTTGCACAAGACCTTTTTAAAGTGTTGAAGAGCAAAGATGTCAGCTTGAGGACTAAGGTGCGCCTGACCCAAGCCATGGTATTTTCAATAACCTCATATGCGTGCGAAAGCTGGACAGTGAATAAGGAAGACTGTAGAAGAATTGATGCATTTGAGTTATGGTGTTGGAGGAGAATACTGAAAGTGCCATTGAGCTGCCAAAAGAACCAACAGATCTGTGTTGGAAGAAGTGCAGCAAGAGTGCTCCTCGGAGGCCAAGATGGCCAAACTTCATCTCTCATACTTCAGACATGTTGTCAGGAGGGACCACTCACTGGAGAAGGATATCATGCTTGATAAAGTGGAGGGAGGGTCAGAGAAAAAGAGGAAGACCTCCAGCGAGATGGATTGGCAAAGTGACAGCATCAATGGGTTCAAGCGTGGCAACAGTAATGAGGTTGGCCCAGCATCAGGCAGTGTTTTGTTCTGCTGTGCATAAGGTCGCTATGGGTCGGTACCAACTCAGTGGCACCTAACAACAACAACAGTACGGGCTTAGGGCTGCTGCAGATCTTTTTGGGGATCACATTTCTGTCCTGCACAGGATTGGAACATAGAGAAAAAAGACTGTATTTACCAGACCAGTTAGGTGAGGTAACTGAATCAGGTTTATAGCCAATAAGTCATGGTGGCACAGTGGCTTAAGTGTTGGGCTGCTAACCTCAAGGTCGGTGGGTCAAAACCACCAGCCACTCTATGGGAGAAAGATAAGACTGTCTGTTGCTATAAAGATTTACAGTCTCCGAAATCTTACAGGAGAAGTTCTACTCAGTTGTATCGGGTTTCTCTGAGTTAGCAGGACCTTGATGGCAGTGGCTTTGGGTTTGATACTGACCACCTGGATGGTCAGGCGGCTGCCTCCCCAGCTCCATCCCTAGCCATCAGAACATACATCTAACCACAGAGTAAGTCAAGCTCAACCTCGGAAACATGGAAGGAAATGATTTTGACCGAGGCTTGATCAGATCTTTTAATAAATCCCATTATAAAAGAGGACCTCAAAACATCTTTGGAAAAATTCCATCCTCTTTTAATTCTATGTTTCTAGGAGCATTTTGAAGTTCCCACATGTGTTTTGCAGTTCATGTCTTTCTAGCAAGTGTGTTCTAAGAATTTATTTCTTCTCAATTTGGAAATGTGGTTGCTCATCACAGCCCTGGTAACAAAGGAGACAGCTGGAGGGACAGATTTACCAATCCCATGCTATCTGTTCCATCAGGATGCGTTAACTAAGCCAGGGAAAAGTTGGGGATGGTGGGTGTTGGTGGAGATCCTGTGGGTACTGGGGACTGGCTACCATGCCAACACCCAGAAATCGCTCCCAGAATAAACACCAGAAACCACTTAGCATGTTTCTACACCCTTACCAGTGGGCACAGGTCACCACAAACTGCCCTTTGGATCATGATTGTTCTATTTATCCCCACAGTGATTGCCAAGATGATAAAGGCATTTATACCTCCTTTAAGCTTGAGAACCGCTTCAATATCAGTGAGCATCTCAACAGTCAAAAGGTAAGGGACTAGAACCAGACTTGGTTTTCCAGCCAATCCAAGTGTCCTTCTTTTTATTTTTTGCTGAGGGCAATGCCTATATTTTGTTCCAAAACATTTTCATCACTCTTAACCAAATGTTTCTGTTGCAGCTTAAGCTTTTTCCTGTAGATAAGCAGGTTCACTGTAAGGGCCTCACTGTGGACACTTGGGAACTGTTGGGTGGTTTAAATGGTTAACACGTTCTACTGCTACCCTAAAGGTTGTAGGTTCAGATCCACCCAGAGGTGGTTGGAAAGAAAGGTTTGGTAATAAACTTCCAAAAAAGAAGAATGAGTTGGTTGGTTATGTATGTGCTGTGGCGTCAGTTCCGATTCACGTGACCATGTATGGGATTTCTAAGGCTGTAAAATCTTTACGGGAACAGAAAGCCTCATCTTTCTCCCATGGAACAGCTGGTAGTTTCGAACTGCTGACCTTGAGGTTAGGAGCCCAACTCATAACCATTATGCTACCAGGACCATTGGAAACCCTTCGAAGCACAGTTCTCCTCTGACACGCATGGAATTGCCATGATTCGGAATGGACTGAGTGGCAACTGGCTTTGGCTGGTCGGAAGTTCACAGGAAAGATTTTATGTTTCTGGGTAGAGTTGTTCTTATAGGAAGAAGTCTAGATTGGTTCCCACAGAAATAGTGAAACTTCAAAGCTTTCCTGAGGCCTCCCAGTGGCTTGATCACCTGAATCTGAACTGTGACTTGACCATGGCCTCAGCTAGTCATCAGAATTGGTTCTTCTTGGCCATGGTACTATACTTCCCTTACTCCTTGTCGAGGTGCCCCTTTAACTTGCTTGTTTAGTTCTAGTCCCAGGGACTCCTCCATCTGTCTCCTGCGTGGTGCTAGAGGCCACACAGATGTTCTCTGAGACCAGCCACCTTCCCTGCCAGGGTTCTGAAGAGGGGATGATACACCCACAGCTGGGGTCTGCCCCATCAGCATCCTGGAGTCTTGGCTGTGGCCCTAGGACTCCAGGGTGGGCTCTGGTGATCGTGGCTGACCCTTAATGAATCAAGGATCAAAGCTGATGGAGTGGAGTCTTTTCTCCTTCTGCATTAAGAGGCCAGGGGCAGGCCATTGCCATTCCAGAGCTGCCACGAGAGCTGGAGCATTTAGGGCACCTCTGGCCCGTACTGGAAGGTCTCTTCTTTAGAAAGAATCTAAAGAGGCCTCTTTCTTTGAGTCCTCTGGAATGGCAGTGGAGACCAAGTACGGGAGTTGCTTTCTAAACTTCACAGCAGCCACGGAGGCAGCCCAGAAGTTGTCTTGGGGCACCACCAGGTCATGACGAAGCAGACTTCTAATGTGAAGAGGTTTACTCCAAAGTTGAAGTCAAAATGTGTGTGTATTAGCTTCTCCAAATAAAAAAAATACAGTTTTTATCCAAACCTGAAATAACCACTACCAGCCACCCCCGCCCAACACACACACCCGCACATACACACCTGCCCCATCAGACCACGTGCCATTTTCTCTCTGCTGTGATGTGTGGAGGTTGGGAGGCACCACCCTGGGACAGAGAAGCCATTTCACACTGACAGGAACTACCACTAGCTCTTGAGACAGCCCCAAGTCAACACCCCCGTTCCCATTTCCCAGGGTCTTTGGCCCAAATAATTAAGCACCATACCCTTAATGATAAACCCTCATCCTCTGGCCACCCATGTCTAGTCGGGCCAGTCCCTCATGGAATGCTAGGCTTCCTTGCCTCCTTCAACATCTCTTTGTCAAGACTTCACTCAGAAGCCGCCTCTATAATGCCCTCCCAGCCCTCTCTTATTGCAGTCCTGGCACCCCCTGGCACCTTCTTGCTGTTCCTTTACCTCAGTGATGGCAGCCTCTTGGGTTTGAGGTCGTTGAGGGTGCAGTGCGTTTGGCCTCCTGGCATTGTGCACGGTATGAGGTAGAGGGAAGGAGGCAGGGAAGAAGTGGAAGGAAGAGAAGAGTATCAGAAGAAACGCCACTCGAGTACACACTTGCTAGTTTTTGGCCTCGAGTTCCTGAGTAGTACAAATGGTTAAGCACTCCACTTCTAACTTAAAAGTTAATGGTTCGAATCCATTCAAGAGTACCATGGAAGGAAGGCTTAGTGACCTTCTCCCATGAAAGTTACAACCCTCCTGGAGAAATTCTACTCTGTAACACAGGGTCGTGATGAACCAGAACCGGCCCTACGGCAACAGGGTTGGTTTGGTCTTGGTATGTTCTTATAGCTCTTGTAAACTGTTCTTGTAGTTGCGGTGTGCCATCAAGTTGGTTCTGACTCATAGCCACTCTTAGGGGTTCTAAAAGCAGCTGGTGGTTTGAACTTCCGACTTCGCAGTTAGCAGTCCAGTGCTTATCCTAAAGTGCCACACCGTAGCTCCTTAAAACGTTGTTAAGTGTTGTCCATCTCATAGTCCCCTTGTGTAGAGTTTCCATGGAGCCACTGGTGGGTTCGAACTGCTGATCTTGTGCATTGTAGTCTAGTGCTGATCCTCAGTACCACTTCAGGAGTCCAGAAAAGTCCAATTAAAGCATGATTGTTGCTAAGTGCTGTTGAGTCAGTTCTGACTCAGCATAGGGTTTCCAAGGAGCCACTGGTGAGTTTGAACCGCCGACCTTGTGCTTCATAGTCCAGTGCTGAGCCTACAGCACCACCCCAGGAATAATGAAGATAACTTACAACTTTTCTTTTTATTATGCAGTACACCCAAGACTTAAGCAAGGAATTTGCGAACCTGAACATCAAGCTTGATAACATAGTTCTGCTAGATGATGCAGGGAAACAAAACCTGCAGCAGTTCGGTGCCACGGGAATCCACGAGCTAGACTATGACGCTTACCTGGCGGAGGTAAGACCCGGGTGCTCTCATGCGAGTCTTTAGGGGCAGTGAGAGTATCGCATGTGGGCGTTTTGGGGCAGGCCGACCTTGGCAGTATTACAGGTTTGGTTCCAGGTCACCTCAGTAAAGTAAATAACCTCAATAAAAAGAGACGCATGTCTCCAAGTACCTAGGAAAATTATGTTCACACTCTATGAAGTCTGCAACAACATTCCGAAAAAGTTTGAAAGATTACAAGAATGACCAAAATGTGACACAAAGATACAAAATGAGATCAGGCTTTACTCTCTCAACACTGGCTGGTCGCAAGCTTCCAAACTATAAAAAAACCCTCACAGGATCTGTTAATCACAGCAAAGGGAAGAGCAATAAAACGAGGCCCATCTGTATGTGTTACCAAGAAGACAACGCAAGAGTTTCTAGCCTTACTGTATGTTATGAACGTAACATGTTGTTGTTACTGTTAAATGCCGTTGAGTTGGTTCTGACCCACAGCAATCCTAAATAGGGTTTCTGAGGAGCGGCTGGTGAGCTTGAACAGCTGACCTTGCAGTTCAAACTGACCTGGAGGTCCAGCGCATTAACCCGCAACACCACACCAGGACTCGACATACCCTGAGCAACGTTCAATCTGCTGCTCGTGAGATGCTGTTTCAAAAATCCATCTTGATGACATTGTTTTCCCCTTTATTTTCAGGCCAATAAAACCCTCACCAAAGTGAATCTTGGATCATTTGCTGATAATTTAGAGAAAACAGCAAAGCGTTTGGTAAGTTCTAATGCTTGTTGCCATCCAGTTGATCTGTAGGCCACAGAGACCCTGGGGTAATGGTTTCCAAGGCTGTGAATCTCTTTGCAAGAACAGATTGCCACATCTTTTCAGAAGCAGACTGTAGCTGGTTAAGTTCAAACCACTGCCTTTGATCACCAGAGGAGTGCTTAATCACTGGGAAACAAAATCATTCAGTTAAGTGCTGCACTAAATGTAGTTGTCAGATGTCAACACCATTTTTCGGAAAGGTGCTTAAGAGGCTCCTTCTTTCACAAGTTGTTGTTGTTATTGTTAAGTGCCCTCAAGGTGGTTCTGACTTACAGCAACCCTGTATGTGGTTTATGAGGAGTGACTGGTGGATTTGAACCATTGAATTTGTGGTTAGCCGTCCAGTGCTTAGTCTACAGTACCATACCAGGACTGGTAGTTGACAGCCCAGGAGGCGTAAGATTTCATCTTCCTCCTAATGCTGCTGTAACGGGTATTCTACAAAGGGGTGGCTTTTAGAAACAGACATTTATTTTTCTCACAGTTTAGGAGACTGCAGTTGTGATTTCAGTCTGTGACAGCTCTAGAAAGAGTTTCTCTCTGTGTAGGCTTGAGGTTTAGGATGAAGGCACTTATCTACTTCCAGGGTCTGTAGTCCTCCATGTGTCTTGGCAGCTAGATTCCTCTGGGTCTAAGAGGTTCTCAGTGCAGCGACCCCAGGACCAAAGCTTGCATTCCACCGCCTCTTCTTCTTTCTTGGTGGTAGCAGGTCCTTGGGAGTTCTGCTTCAGTCTCTTGCTTTGTAAGATAAAAAGCATTGAAGGCCGCACCCCAGGATAACTCCCCCTACCTCAGATCAGGATTGTGACTGGATTAAGGGTGTTGCTTGGTACTTGTCATTGTGTGGAAACCAACTCATAGTGACTGACCCTATGCACAACAGAATGAAACACTGCCCAGTCTTGTGTCGATCTCACAATCATTGCTGTGCTTGAGCCCATTGCTACTGCCACTGTGCCAATCCATTTCTTTGGGAGTCTGCCTCTTATTTGCTAGCCTTCCACTTGACCAAGCATGATATCCTTCTCCAAGGAGTGGTCCCTCCAGATAATGTGTTGAAAGTATGAGAGATGAAGTCTGGCCATCCCGGCTTCCCAAGAACATTCTGGCTTTATTTTTTCCAGCACAGATGTGTTTGTTCTTGTGGTAGTCCGTGGTACTTTTAATATTCTCCTCCAACACCATAACTCAAATGCATCAATTCTTCCACGGTCTTCTTTATTCATTGTACAACGTTCACATGCATCGAGGTTATTGAAAATACCATGTCTTGGGTCAGGTACACCTTAGTCCTCAAATTGGCAAGTTTGCTCTTGAACACTTTAAAGAGATCTTGTGCAGCAGATTTGTCTAATGCAATATCTTGTTTGATTTCTTGACTGCTGCTTCCATGAGTGTTGATCTAAACAAAATGAAGTCTTTGACAGTTTTTATTCTTTTCTCCCTGTGGTACCTATTTGCATTCCACTCTCTTTCCCGACACTTCTCAACTTTGTCCTTAAGTAAATGTTGCCCTTTTGATCTTGAATGGCTATCCATTCCATCATGAGCATAGTGTAGACTAGTGTTCTGTCCCCACCTACATATTTAGACCTCGAGGGTGAGTTCTGTCACCCTGAAAGCGTCCTGTGTGATCTCAGCTGCTAATCTTAGAAACTAGGCAGGGTCAGGTCTGGTTAGTACTTGGAAATGCAGTTCTTTTTGTGTTTTTGTTTGTTTTTAAAATAAGGTTTTTATTGTGAATTGAGTGATAGTTTACATGGGAGAACATCAGTTTTACATTCATCCTATCGTATTTTGTTTCATTGCAATGATTACAATCCTCTCCATGCATCATCATTCAACAGTACTTGCTTGTTTCCTGTTTTGTTTTTTACTGGCTATACTCAGAAACACTCAGGAATATATAATCATTTAAACAACCAAAGGGCACATTCTGCAAGCTTGCCTCCTGGCTGCCAGCACACAGCCTTTCTCTTCCCATGAATCTAGAGTCCTCAGCTGCTCTATCTCTCCAGTTCCTCATCTCTGCCTCCATCTCGGGTGTTGCTGCTTCTCTGGATAGGGTTTCACATTCCACTCGTGTTCTTCTTCTTTGATGGTCCTAGAATCCTCTGTTCCTGAAATGTAAGATTAACTATTCCTCCTTTTTATGTTACAAAGCTTTTACCTTTATAGTTGTGACAATCAAAATTAGTCATAATAATAATTACTCACTCACTATTGAATCATACAACTCTTATCCCTATCTCTTTTCACCAGATCCATCTAGATAAGATGAAAACTATTCAGTGGGGATTCTACCTTTCCCCACACACTCTGAAACTAAACTCCCTCTTGAAAACTTGTAAGCCAGTCACTTTGTGCCTTTATAGCCACCCCCTCCCCATTTTAGGTAGCCAATGTCTAAGTTGCCCATCCCTATCTACCCTGTGTACAGAGGGGATAGGATTGATCCCTGATGTGAAGACTCCTTCCCTCTCAGTTGATATTTTGAGCTACTACATCCATAAGTTTAGGTCAAGTTAATCAAATTGTAGCAATTTACACTTGTTTCCTTTATCAAAAATTGTTTTTTTTTTTAATCTTCTCTAGTCGAATTCTGATCATTAAGCCATTGAGGCTAGATCAAATGAGTACTATCTACAAGTTTGGGTGTTCTTGTGCATCTCTCCTCACTTCATATCACCTGGACGCTGCACTCTTAGCTCTAGCTCTCCGTGGCTATGTCCTTGTCCATGGACTCTGGTGTCCCCAGGTATCACCATACTTCAGACCAACCAGCCCTTACTTCTCTCTCTCACCTCCAGGTCGACAGGAGTCTATGGAACATGGTCAAAGTCAGCCCATATCTTCATTGCTGCCTTTCCCCCTCTTCCACTCACCAGTAGACCAACATGGTCATCATCCAGCTTACATGCTTGCTCGTGTGTTCACTTTGAGTTTCAGTCTTGGAGTGGGGTTTGTCCTGAAGGGACTTGATTGCTTGCCTTGATGGCTCTCTGATGAGCAACTTGCTTTTCCTTATAGTAGCCAGTCAGACTGCCATTTTAGTTTTTTAATTTTCCTGCCGGGCTTTCTTTCAAGAAGTATCTTCTGTTCTCCTTTCAAGTGGGGATGTCCCAACTCAGAAGGTTCTGGATGGGGCTTAGGACTCTACCTAAGGGGCTTAGGACTCAAGGTCCTATACACTGAAAAGGCACCACAAGAAGCCTATTTCAATGGGCAAGTTCTAGATACCCTTTTAGGTATTTTAATGAGTTCTAGGCTAAAGATGTGCTTACAAGCTTGAGCCTTGGTTTCCCCATCTGTAATCATGTTTCCTGATATTCCTTTCCATCCCACTCAACTGTTTATTTTACAATAGTAGGCAAGTGAAACCAACATTCATAAGACAGTCAAGAATCTTAACATTATTTCCCCTCTTTTACCCATTCAGACTATGCCTCGATCCCTATATCACAGAGCCCTGTGGTTCCAAGGTTGAGCATACATTTACCTCTATTTACCTTTGCCCCATTTAACCCATTGCATGTGATATTAATGATACTTTGTGAGGATTTCATTCAGTTGGGTTACAAATATGTGATCCCATGTCTTTGGAATGGGCACAAATATGAATCAGTTGGCTAAGTAACTGTCTTCCTATTTCTTGGCCTAGATGAGTGAGTGCCTTCAGTGCTACACCAGTTTGTTGAGAGATTTCAATCTGCATTCCATCAATTCCTGGAGCCTTGTGCTTTGCCAATGCCTTCAGTGCACGTTGGACTTCTTTTCTCAGTATCATTGACTCTTGATCATATGCTACCACTTGAAATGGTTGAACATTGACCATTTCCTTTTGGTAGAGTGGCTCTGTGTATTCCTTCCAGCTTCTTTTGATGTTTTCTGCACTAGTCAATATTTTGCCCAGAGAATCCTTCAATATTGTAAGTCAAGGCTTGAATTTTTTCTTCAATTCTTTCAGCTTGAGA